AAAGATTCGTAGAAAAAATATAAACGTTGGACTCTGTGGTCGATTCTGTGTTAAGGTAAGGCATGTTATTCGCAATTATGTGTTGTGGCTGGGTTGTTATAGGTCTGCGTGACTCTCGATGTCTTAGGCCTAGTTGAACGGAGGAATTATGGTATTCTTCTGTAGCCTGACGACGAGTAACTTTACGTTAACCGTTGTTCATGTGAACTCAAAGACAGCCTGATGCTTTGTTTATAGACTATTTGTGGGTGGCTGTTTGTTGTTTCACCTATCAATTCGTGTCGATAAAGTATAATAGGGTAAATCCTGTATAGTGACTTATCCTATATAGTGCTTGCATAAAGCAAGTAGTGCATACACCTGTAGCTGTTATGTATCTTTGTAAGTCATTCTACATTACAAAAGCCGCTCATCACTATCTAAGCCCTCTTTTGAGGCACGCGCAAGCGCACGAACCCCCCCCCGTTATAAAAAAACAACAACAAGTGTACTCCCCCATAGTCTGAAAAATGTATCCTAACGGGATCCAAAACACAAGTAATACATTTGAAATCTCAAATAATATCTATATTATATGAAATATTATATGTATAACACAATTTTATATGTAAGACTACATAATACAAATAATCAATTTTGTAAATGTCATGAATTATAAATCTGATTCATACACTGCTCAACTTGAAAAAGAAGATAAAAACAGTTGTTTTAAAGTACCACTTTCGCGTGACAACAACACAACACCTTAAATAAATCTTAAATAATATTTATACTATTATATATTAATTAGATGTACACAATTATTAAATATATTTAATATTATAATAAATAATATTACATTGTATATATATATTATTAATATATTTAATACAATTTTTTATAATTTAATACTTTTTATAGAGGACGATGTGTACATATAATATTAATTCTATATATAAAGATTCCTAAATGTTCTCAAACACATCTAGAGGGTTTAAAAAAATAGAACAATGAAACTGTTGTTTTAAAGTATCACTTTCACCTCACAACAACACAACGCCAGAAAGAATGTTCAAACAAAAGTTCCAAATTGAATAAATCTGGAAATCACTTCTTTAAAAGTTGTTTTGTTAGGCAAGAGAACAGCAAGGAGACTGCAAGATGCAAATCTAGGCTTGCTTTGTTTTTGACAATAATTACAGAAAATGAACAAGAAGAAGAGTCCTCAGTCCCCTGTGTTCTGCTGCTCTATTAATTATTCTGAGGAGGACAGATGTTAAATTGCGTATGCCCATCAGCACTAAGACTTTCACAAGATTTATCATTCATGTAAATCATGAATAAAATATTTCCTTGCCAAGAGAAAATGTTACATCTGTTTGGTGCATCACAGACACCATGATGCAAGAAAAATCCGAACTGGAAGACTCCGGTGACAACCTATACGAACACAAAACTGACAAAGTTTATGGAACTAAAATGGTTATTTTTTTCCTACACAGCATGAAATTAGATTAAACAGATGTTGAATTCATTAATATGAATAAAGCCGTTTTAATTTTGTTTTTACTGCACATTTGCATAAGACTTTAGTTATGTACCAAATAATTGAGACGTTTGCCTCTTGACTTTGGAGTACAATTTTGCTGTCCAGCTTTATGTTGATACTTCATTATTCTCATGAATATTCACAAGCCAAAGCCACTTTAATACAGTGTTGTGAAAACACGGACAATATTTGTATTTCTTTTCACTTCGCATCCGCCCACAAGCTTCGGAGGAATAACAGTTTTTTCTTTCTTTCTTTTTTTTTTTTTTATCACCGTAGGCCATTCTCGTCTAATGCGAAAACTCACTGGCCAGTGGCTATAAATATTCTTTAATGGCTATGAAACTCTATTTTGCATTAGTTTTATTAAACAGATTTTTTGTTCCCATGACATCATCATATATAAGCCCGTCTCCATCTCTCAATCAAAATACGCTTACATTTTTGTTTCAGAAAAAAAGCCCAGTTTTAATAAAACGCGCTCAAGATGCTTTGCCTTCCTCCGGATGCATAAATAAGAAAGCAGTGACAGACAGAGTGTCATCTGTGAGGAGAGAGAGGGAGGGAGGGAAAGAAATGGAGCATCAATGTTCCAGGAGGAGGAGGACGAGGTCAGGACACGAGTCGTGGGGACGTGGCCCTTTCGCGTCGCCCCCGGCCACCATCACGTCGGCCTGCCCTCGGAACAGACAGCCAGGCTCTCACAACAGATGGAACTAATGATGCGCAACAAAAGAGATCATTTCACTGTGGTCCTGGGGAAGCCACAAAGAGCGCTGGGACATTTGAATGATAGGGCCAGCCAGTCACTAGGGGTTAGATATGGGAAGCTTTTATGGAGGTGGAAAAGTGAATAGAGGCTCCCTGGCCCTCCTTCGGCCCCTTTGATGTCTCTCACAGAAACAGTGCGCCACTTTTTAAAAGGGAAATATGAAAAGTGGAAGACTAGGGCCTCTGCCAATCTCTTTTTCATCCTTTTTTATGAGCCTTGTCAGCAGGAAATCCCGTTTTTTGAAGAAGCATGAGTTCATGGCGAATGTACAGTTTGATGTTCTTGTAGGAGCACTGAGGAATAAAAGACTGGAAGACAGTAATGCGCTCATTCAACATTTCAAAAAGCTTTCAAATAAACTCAAGAATCAACAATAAAGTTTTTTGTTTCGTTTTTTTCGTTTGCCCTGCCAACAATTTCACAGGTCCCACCACAAAGAAGCTTATTTGAATAAATAATTAATTATTAAATAAATAAAGACCATTAAATCCTTATGAACAAAACAATAAAAATAATAAATATATACAATATAAATATATTTTAATTAAAATAATTTCTTATTTATAAATAATATATTTATATATAGAATAAAAAAATTATTAAATTAATATTACAATTATCTATCTATCTATCTATCTATCTATCTATCTATCTATCTATCTATCTATCTATCTATCTATCTATCTATCTATCTATCTATCTATCTATCTATCTATCTATCTATCTATCTATCTATCTATCTATCTATCTATCTATCTATCTATCTATCTATCTATCTATCTATCTATCTATCTATCTATCTATCTATCTATCTATCTATCTATCTATCTATCTATCTATCTATCTATCTATCTATCTATCTATCTATCTATCTATCTATCTATCTATCTATCTATCTATCTATCTATCTATCTATCTATCTATCTATCTATCTATCTATCTATCTATCTATCTATCTATCTATCTATCTATCTATCTATCTATCTATCTATCTATCTATCTATCTATCTATCTATCTATCTATCTATCTATCTATCTATCTATCTATCTATCTATCTATCTATCTATCTATCTATCTATCTATCTATCTATCTATCTATCTATCTATCTATCTATCTATCTATCTATCTATCTATCTATCTATCTATCTATCTATCTATCTATCTATCTATCTATCTATCTATCTATCTATCTATCTATCTATCTATCTATCTATCTATCTATCTATCTATCTATCTATCTATCTATCTATCTATCTATCTATCTATCTATCTATCTATCTATCTATCTATCTATCTATCTATCTATCTATCTATCTATCTATCTATCTATCTATCTATCTATCTATCTATCTATCTATCTATCTATCTATCTATCTATCTATCTATCTATCTATCTATCTATCTATCTATCTATCTATCTATCTATCTATCTATCTATCTATCTATCTATCTATCTATCTATCTATCTATCTATCTATCTATCTATCTATCTATCTATCTATCTATCTATCTATCTATCTATCTATCTATCTATCTATCTATCTATCTATCTATCTATCTATCTATCTATCTATCTATCTATCTATCTATCTATCTATCTATCTATCTATCTATCTATCTATCTATCTATCTATCTATCTATCTATCTATCTATCTATCTATCTATCTATCTATCTATCTATCTATCTATCTATCTATCTATCTATCTATCTATCTATCTATCTATCTATCTATCTATCTATCTATCTATCTATCTATCTATCTATCTATCTATCTATCTATCTATCTATCTATCTATCTATCTATCTATCTATCTATCTATCTATCTATCTATCTATCTATCTATCTATCTATCTATCTATCTATCTATCTATCTATCTATCTATCTATCTTTTCACAGGTCCCATCACAAAGAAGCTTATTTTAATACATATTTAAATAATTAATTATTCACTAAATAATTTATATAAAATAATTATTAACAAAACAATATATATAATAATCTGAATTAATAATAATATCATATATCATATAAAAATGTAGATATATTTTATTTTTATAATAAGTTTTGAACACCATATTAAAACTCAAGTTGCCTCGTGCCATCCTTATTGTTAAAAAAACATCACTATATATATATAAAAAAAATAAAATTAAATGGAAAATGTGCAGTTTTTATCAGTCAACCTCATCTGACCCTTAAAAATTACATTCACTGGTATAACGTAATGTCAGCATATTTTTAGGTTACCTAACAAAATACTTTTTTAATGTAGATAAATTCAATAAAATTACTACTGAAAGGGACGCATGCAAATGCACATTGTTCTATAAAAATATATCTGCATAATTCCAAAGGCTTGTACTCCAAGAGCATATGAGTTAAGTGCACAAAGAGCATTCTGATATCCATACAGCCTAGATTTCAATGACAAAAGAAATCCCATATATCATTCACCTAGGGGTCCATTCAGACCATGATACCACACTGTGGGACACCATCATTTAACTTCAGTTAGAACATTGAGGAAAGGGAAAAGGGCAAAGGTACCCTCTTTTTCTAAAGCGGGCTCTTATTTATTGGCTTACTCTGCATCGTTCAGATCAAAACAAATGAGCGTTAACATCACTTCCTCCCAGTCTGAACAATAATAGACTAGTTCAGCCAAAAAAAGAACATTCTCTCATCATTTACTCGCCCCCAAACCTGTAATGTAAAGTAAATGAGTAAATAATAAGAGTTTTCATTTTATGATGAACTATTTCTTTAAGTGCACATCAAGCAGACTGGGCACGTTCCTTCTACTGTTTGAAAATAAACAGAGGAGGGAAACAGCGCACCTTCAAACACCTAGGGAGGGGATTTAAGTAAGATGTGAAGCGTTCAGTAGCTCAATCCGCTTCCCTACTTCCATACTGTAGATATCAGTGAAAGTTCAGACTGATGCTGACATGAACAGAGGAGCGTGTCGTTATTAGCGGCAGGTTAGTTCTGATAACACTATCAGCCTCCTCCCCCCGGGCCAGCGGTGCTGGGCCTAACCCTCGAATAAAGCCGAAGTGTCTCGACTCCCTGGCACATTAGCTCTGATTACAATGACCTTCATTATATCTGCTACCCTTATTTTACACATAGAGCACAGCGTTCCCTTGGGCTGCACACTGCAGCATAAAGGAGAGGAGGTGGGGCGGCCCGCTACAGGAGGATGCGTGCGTGGCATGTGACTAACCGCAACCACGGTGGTCCTGCATAATATCCTTGGCCGAAAAACAGGATATCAGGCCATTGTGCAAAAGTAAGATAATTGTTCCCAAAAGAACAATGCTTGGAAGAGGTGCAAGATAAAATCCTTGTATTTCAATTGTTTCTTATTAAAAAAAAAAAAAAGTACAATACCTATGTATTCACTGTCAAAGTACACTAAAAAGAATGTGGAAACACATGTCTTTTGAGCATTTCATTTCAAAATAATTAGGTTGGGTTTTTGATTCAATTGAATTTGCGATTTAAACTGATTCAGTTTGATTAAATTCAGATTTGATTTTAATTCTTTTGGGTATATTTAAGTTATAATATCCATTCTAGTTACACAATGAAGAAATGCTAAATGTTAAATCTCTGCTACTGCTTAGAGTCATAGTGTTTCAGAATGATTCAAACTCATCTTTTTAAACTATTCATCAAAAGAACTGGCTTTAGGAACAGACTACACTGGCCACGCTGTATGTTTTGAGTCACTAAAAACCACTGGTTTTTAAGAGTCACTTATAAAAGAATCAGACTACACTGATTGTGCTGTATGTTTCTGATTCGCTAAAAACAACCAATTCATAAAAGTAATTTAGAAATGATTTAGAAAACACTGGTTACACTGTACCTTTTGATTCATTAAAAACAACCGGTTCCTAAATTTCTTTTTTTTGTGAACCTATTTGTTTGTGTCTACACTAGTCGCATTTCCATTACCCTTCAGAAATTGCGAATTGAAAATACACCCAATGGAAACACGTCAATTTCTCTAAAACTCCCATATATCGCAAAAAAAAACATTTTTTTATGCTCGCATGAGTTGGTTTTTCAGGCAATTTGAAAAAGGAATATATCGCAAAAACTCAATACAAACAGTTTTTTGCATATACAGGTCTTTTGGCGTACGCAAGTCACATGATCATTCTTTAATGTACTATAACCTCCAAGAAGCACCTCATACGTGGCCGCTCTCAAGCTCTTTCCTTGCCATTAATGCTTGGATACTGCACACGTCTGCAGCGCATTATAGCTCCGACACGGCCACCAGCCACTCTAGTCAATGCTTGCGTTTATCCCAGCTGCGCCGCAGCACATTTCAGAAGCGTCCCAGAAGTGGCTCTCCGCACTGCTTCGCTAAAGATACACGCATACATCTCCTTTGATTAAAAATAATGGCTAGTGCGGTGGCTGCAACATACATAAACCTACCAACATCCGTCACAATAACTTATCGCGAGAGGAAACATTTATGTTTTAGTTGCATAACATCAGTTAATGGATATAGGTTTTTTTATCAACATTTATAAAATATTGCAAAAGTTTTGCACAAATCTGTAATGGAAACCCAGCTAGTGTTAGTGCTGTATGTTTTGATTCACTAAAAAGAACTGGTTTATAAGAGTAATTTGTTCATGAACTGGACAACACTGGCCGCACTATGTGTCTTAGATTCACTAAAAATAATTGGTTCACAAGAGTCATTCATTCATGAATCAAACTACATTGGACATATTGTTCCTTGCCATTATTTCACAGTACATGATCTCTTTTTTTTCCTGCAAACTCACATTCACAAATCAGGTCAAATATTTTGCTATGGTTTTAAAGATTCAGTGGTGGTGAAGACAAAGATAATAAAATATACATAAATTAAAGTTTTCCCTAATACTAAAACTACTAACCAACAGCACAAATCCATATTTTATATCCGCCTGCATCACAGGAGTCTTGTATACAGGAGATCATGATGTCTTAATATGCCTACAGACGCATAATGCCGGTCACCTCCAGCCTGCAGTCAGAGCCAACGGATGCTGGCAGCGACTCTACGAGGAGAATGGAAGCTGGACCGGGGCCCTAACGGAAAGCTTGGGGACTCTCGTCACCACTTAGCATACGGCATGCTTGTTAACTTCAATTTTCTGCTCATTCCCACTCACAGGGCCGCAGGGCTAACATTCTTCAGTTCTTGGCAGACGCACCCTCTGGCGGGGGTGACCACCCCCTGAACGGCAGGGGAGTGGGATAAAGATGCAGAGTGCGGCCCTCAAATCTCCCCGCTCATCTGCGTGCGCCTGCTGGCTCTCGCAGCATCCTTCTCGCTCTCCTGCCAGGTGCCTCCATGGCAGCCGTTACCCATGGAGACCTGCCTCTCCCTATTCACTTAGCCTGGCTAACCGAGCATCGAGCAGCAGGGGTGCGAAGGGAGGGAGGAGGGCTTCGGTGCAGTCTGCAGGGGGCCGATGTGTTTGTTTTGTGGAGAGCGGTCTAGAGAGCTGGCTAAATCTGCTTGTTTTGGATTAGAGGGAATTGGGAGGCTGTAAGCACTGGTTTAGGTGATGACTCCTCAATGACTAGTTAAGGAGTACAACACCTGCCAGACCAGTGAGATGCCCATAAGGACAGAAATACAGGAAAATAATGTCCTTATAAGCTGTTTTTTTTTCTGGCATGCTAATGTCATTAATGAAATTACCAACAACAAAAAGTGCTTCATATATTATTCAGCTTTAGCTCCGAAATCCGAATCCCAGACATTATTGACTATTATTGGATTATCTGAAACAATCATTTTCTTTCTAGATTTTTCTTCTTCAAAAACATTGTACATGTACAGTTTATATCCTGCGCTGTTATTTTTTCTCTCATCATATTTTCATCAATAGTATATTTTAATTAAAAACATTTTATTGTCATCATGATTGGCACTTTTTAGTCTCATCATTGTTAACAAAAACAATGATTTTTTGATAGTTTGTGGACCAATTCTTACTAAGTAACTATTAACTATGACATTTGCCTCAATAAACTCATAGTTTGCTGCTTATTAATAGTTAGTAAAGCAGTTGTTAAGTTTAGGTATCGGATTAATGGATCTAAAATATGGTCATGCAGAATGAGGCATTAATATTTGCTTTATAAGTACTAATAAACAGCCAATATGCTAGCAATATGCATGCAAATTAGCAACTAGTTGTGAGAACTGGTCTCTAAAGTGTTACTCGTTTTTTTTTTTTTAATTCAACAACAACTAAAAGGTGCGCATCAGAACAAAAATAAAATATTTTAATTAAAACTGCTGAGAAAAAATTACAACCTGGTCTCATGGCAAAAACGTACCCGGGGGCACATTTTCGCGAAACGCGAAATACGTACCAATAAGTACATATCACTGCAGTTTCCAAAAGAAATGAACACTAAAGGCAGTAAAACTCCGACACCTTTTATTCCTTTTCACACACATTTACAGAGTTTCGATTAATAAAGTGTAATTTTCGCACAATTACTTGAAGAATATCATGTTATGACTTCAAAACAATTTTAATATGCTGGGAGATTTGAAAACTGATGCTTTTGAACGTTAGCACCGCACATATCCAGCTTCATATCAATGGGTTTTCATCAACGGTAGGTTTGTTCGGTAGCTCACGGAGTACGGAGACGTACTTGAGAGGCGAGGAGCTGCGGTTCGAATATAAATAAGTTCAAATGACACGGTTGCATCAACAAATGCGTTTTTATATCAGTTTTGCATTTGTTAACACTGTCGGGTAGGTTTAGTGTTTTAGCGCCACTCAGTGGACATTTCTCTTTGAAACTGCAGCGAAACATGCAGTAAGGTACGTAAAAACGGTGTTGCAGAAAAGTACACAGACGTACGTATTTTTATGAGACTGGGTTGAAAAATTACTGCTGACAAAAAAATTGCCAAGAAAAAACATCAACCATGCACTAACAATGCTTTATGAATAATAAGAACATTATATAAAGAATATGATAGTTTCAAATAATCCAATCATATAGAATAATATCAAGGATTCTGTTTGTGAACTGAAGCTAAACAGTGCATAAACACTGGTTTAATGAAGTACTTTGATAGCGGGTTAATTAACTCACCCAAACGCATCCTATACATATGAGAATGTATAGGATGTTTATGTATACACAACATAAACATATTACAACAAAATTACAAAAGTGAACTTGAACTAGGCTAAATGCTAGTCAGAATGTCATGCTATAAATACAATCTTTCTGTGACTAAAGCATCACAATGTTATTTCAGGAACTTTTTACACAAGAACAGTTTTTGTTAACGAAACTGAACTAATTAATACAGGTGCAGAAAGATATTCACTATATTAAATATTCAATATATTTAAGCTCGGATGATTCACGCCAGTTCCTATATGTTTTATTACTAGATAAAGTTGCATTTATGTCTCAGGATTGTATTTATGGGTTTAGAAGCGGAACTAGTGGCAGATGAACAGGCACCTGGTGAACGTTGAGCGCTCCTGGGCTTTTAGGGCTTAATTAATCAAGGCCTCTGGGTATTATGACATGGCTGGGCTTCTCCGTGTGTGTGACTCAATTAAGTTGTTTCGTGAACCAGAGGTGTGACTTCAATATTGCTTAGAGTCGCGACTATCACACGAGCTGTGGTTAGCATTAGCGCTTTGGGTGAACTGAGGCAATTCCAAACATAGTCGTATCTTCATCTGCTTTACTGACAAAACACAGCAAGGCGAATGCACTGAACAGTTACGCTACTTTAGCATGAGTTATTTCAGCATCAAAACCTGCATCCTATTCACTAACCATGGCAATCCAGCCTGACTAGCCATTATACGTGCTGGTATAAAGTCAAACCATGCATTCATAAAACAAGTCATTGTTTACCGGCATAATTTGTATAAAATCAAACAACATCAGTCGGCAGAATTCTTACTGAGTACTACACAATGAGTCTACACAAAATTACGAGCCGAAAACCTCTTTTATGCTGACTGATATTACTGTTTTTAGGTAACTGGCCAGTTAAATAGTCATTAGCAAACTATAGATGCATTATGGTACATTGTGATATTGACCTTCAAGATATATTGAGTCCTCCAGTTTTGTCTCAGTCCTGTGGGTCACTGTCTTCTTCTTGCCAACAGTTAGCTTGCATGTTCACACTAGACTCTTACATAGCTGTCTGTTGACGCCTGTTAGGACACAGAACAGTTATGGGTACATATTTTACTACCAAACCATAAACGCAAACAAAGATTTTGATGAACTTTGAAAAAATGCCTCCCATTCGCCACTTTGACAAATCAACATTCGGTTTGTGTAACCGTTTTTAATGCATCTTTTTATACCAGTGCTGTCAGTGGCTTGTATCGTACTCAGAATTTTATAAACAGCGCTGTTTCCGCAGCACAGTAACTACTTTCATTTCATTGTAAAACCTGTCAAAACTCCAATTAGATGTTTAGAGAGAAAAATACGACTTTCAATTTGCCCAAACAAACCACTCCGTAAGTTAATAAAAAGGCATTATCATCATTCTTGTGCTCTTATTAGATTGTGTGTTTATGCATGCTATCCTTTCAAGAGAAACAGGTTTGTGGGTAAAACACCTCCAATTAGATGTTTAGAGAGAAAAATACGACTTTCAATTTGCCCAAACAAACCACTCCGTAAGTTAATAAAAAGGCATTATCATCCTTCTTGTGCTCTTATTAGATTGTGTGTTTATGCATGCTATCCTTTCAAGAGAAACACAGGTTTGTGGGTAAAACACAAGGGGAGTGTGTAGAGTCTGTAAAACAGATTTCATGAGATTGAGTGATAAAAAGGAAATGCGTAGGTTTATTTCAGCATGTTAAATAGCTTTAATATTTATTTTTTAACCAGGTGAAGTCTGTCTCATTTCATATACATATCAATATAAAACAGATACCATGTATACGATGAGTTATTTTTATTTATCCTAAAATACTGATGCACTTTAATAAGCTTTTTATTTTAAATAAGGGCCGAAAACAACAGAAACAGAGGCTTGAAATTCCAAATTAAAGAACAGACTAATAATCAGATGATTTTTTTTAGATCAGATAAATACACTAAAAACATAATAAATAAAAGTAATTATTGCAGCTGGTAATTACAATGCTAATTATATTGCTAATTAGCTTATTGTGATGTATACTGCGGATGGGGCCTTCACTACGCCTCAGATCACACAGAAACAAAGTCAAAACGGACTTCAGCCTAAATGATAAGAGCACCACTGAAGACAATATGTTTGTTTTAATATTATCAACTGATTGCATATTAACATTCAAATGTCCTATCGGCAACATATTCCCACTGTCCATGTGACCATTGTGCAATGACATCATTGCGAAGACCTTTGGTCTTACAAACTGAAGAGGTTGATTAATCAGGTCCTCAAATTATTCCTTTCTAAAACCATCTTGGAAGATGGCCCAAATGGAGAATGAACTTGATTTAGAGTGCCAGGAAAGGGTGGATAGATTATAGTCCTCATATAATCTCCTGACCCTGGAGTCTGAGGTAAATGTGGACTCAGAAACATGCAACACACATACTGTAACTGTACACACCTGAATTCAACAGGATGACTTCAAACACTGACACACATTATATACTGTAAATACACACTAAACCTATTGCACACAAGTCAATAGTATTACATCAAATGTCCTACTACCACATATAATTACTACATGATATAACATTATTGATATATTTATCCCTCTCCTCTTTTTGTCTGAAAAAAAAAATGTGTGAGCGTAATGCAATGACGTACATTACAGTTCAAAAGTCTGGCATCAGAAAGGTTTTTTTTTTTTGAAAGAAAGAAAGAAAGAAATTAATACTTTAATTCAACAAGGAGGCATTAACATGCATGCATGAAATTTTTTTATCTGCAATATAACAAAGAGTGAAAAATTTAAGGGGGTCTGAATACTTTCCGTACCCACTGTATATATGAATGTGTGTGTGTATATGTAAAAATGTTTTAAAAAATCTTACTAACCCCAAACATTTGAATGGTAGTGTAATGATACTTTGGGACATTGAAGTGTTACATATTGATTTTAACTTCCTTAAAAAGAAGGAAAGGCTTAATAATACCTGCATTTAATAAAACAATTAATTAATCAATAATAAAAATAATAAAGCTAAATTATCACATTTTGGGAAAATAAAGTTGTCAAGTTTATATCTTGTTCTTTTTGATCCAGAAAGCAGAAATAAGCAAAAACCAAACAAACAATGACATGACAGGAACGCTTATTGCATGCTTTATGAGTGTGATATTTAACATAAAATTATTCACTTCATTATGCTTGAGGACAGGATGACCTGTCGTGACACGAAATGTTTTTCACTACATTTTTTAAGCATGATCTCACAAACAAAACAAAAAAGAAAAGAAAAGAAAAGAAGAAAGCACACACCCAAAAAGGCACAAGAGAAACCAATCGTTCTTACTGATGCCTCGATATTAAATAAATGAACGATGATTCATTTACGCATATGCGTATTACCGTAGGTATGATTCAGAGAGATTCACACTGAATAAATTCTGTCATTGCATTGATCTGGATATTTATCTCCAGATGGGGGGATCAAGTATGTATTGTGAACTTCAGAGTATATGAAGGCATATGAAAAGAATAAAGAGTGTATGTTTGCATTGCCAGGTAACCATCGTGTTTAGATCCATGGTCACCTGTTATTCAGGAAAACCTTATCTAGGTTTGTCATTGTTCAATAAAACAATGAAACAACGTTTATCTTTCCAGAGGTTTACGAAAAGAGGGTGGCAAAAAAACAACAAAAAATGGCATTTTAGTTCAACAAGGAAAGGGTTAGAAAACATAACATACCCTCTGATAATACAGATAAGACACTGTGTCAGGAATAAGGAAAGTTAATGACAGAGTCTGTTCATCCCTCAAAATGAAAGAATGAATTTCTGGGATATCTGCTGATCTGTGCACGCAAATAACAACCTGTGACTACAGCTGCATGGTTTAATCACAGCAATACAGGGAGGGAATATGTAACATGCCAACTTCTCATTATCAAATCCAAATTAATAATTTTCCTAATAATACACCACCTGTCTACACCTGTGCAATTTTCAGCACATTGCGGAAAGAGAGAATGCAGGTTTAAACACATTGGTACAGGAGTGTTGACATGGGCTTCACTATAAAAAAAGATCTGAACTGTTACATAAAATCTCCCTCGGTTCTCTTGTGTGATAACAACAACACAACATATTTCCAAAACTCAGGGTTAGGTCACGAGCATTCAAATCAGAGTCTGAACAAGAAGAGCTGGATTTTTCCCCAAACCACACTATTTATATCAGGTACCTCCCTGACTTACAATCAATTATCGTTGTTCTCGAACACACATGAGAAGGAACAAGTGACTACAGTTTTGTGAACGTTCTGCAATGTTGATTGAGTCATTCATACCCATCGCACATCCGCAACAAACAAGTTGGTTTCAACTAAATCTTTTCTGAACGGCGGATCTGAGAGGAGAAGGGATCAAGCTTTATTCTTGCTCCAGATGTAACGTGATCATTCGTTCTTTTTATCTATTAATGATTTCAAAGGCTTCCAACCATTATTGCTTTTATTCTCTGGAATAAAACCCAGCTGCTCTCTTTGTAGTGAGTCTGTGTGGGTGTATGTGCTTTTGGTGCGACATGGAGGGGGTTGGGAGGGAGAAGAAGAGAGAGGGAAGACAAAAAAACAGTTTTTTCAACAAAAATTTTCACATTTTACACTCTACAACATATTACCGATGAGTGTTTTTACAAGATATCAGAGTGGTAAAATTAATTAGCGTGTAACTCTGAACAAGACCCTACCAAACAAACTACATAAACAAGTTATGACAGTCTGCAGAAGGAGTACAATTAGGTCTATAGTTTTTTTTCAAGCAGTTTAAAGCATTAAAAGCACAAATCCTGCGTATCCTCTACCATAAAATTAGCCTAGCTTGAAATCTAAATTCATACAACACTGGCATAAAACGCTGAACTGATATTCAGTTCAATGCTTTTAAAATGATTTTGCTTAATTATTAACTCATTTTAATGTTAAAAAGGATATTTAGCTGTGCAGTTTGTATGCAATTATTAGAGAATGATTTTCACCCTAACTTTCCTTAAAAAAAAACACACACACGCAAAGACGCAACATAATTTTTGAGCTCTGTTGTATGTTGAGGAAAAAAAACTGTAAAATTTGTGTTTTTACACAAATTAAAATCTCAAACATACAACTTGGGCAACTGTTACCAAAGTTTTTTTATTTTTTATTATTATTGTTGTTGTTGTCCCTAATAAAAAAGTAATATATATAAAATATATTTATTCCATACTAAGTATAGTTAAAATCAATTAACATATTTACTGACATATCGCTCAAGACTGATATAAAAATGATAATTAAACTTTATTTGGGGTACTACTTGTGCACAATGCGAATTTCTTAATATTAAGCCTAACATGTGTTTTAATGTCACTATTGATGAGGATTGCATGATCTTTGAATAATATCAGTCTTTAAATGCAAGATATTTAAAGTTTACCTAAAGTATACTTGCAATAGCCCCACTTTAGCATAATCAAATTTACTACTTCTGCACTACTTCTGTAACTGAACTTCAACTGAAGTGCATTAAGTACAAAACTAGTTGTTCCAATTTAGCAGACCAGTCTAGTCTATTTTATATTTGGGTTTAAAAAAAAAATAAAAAAGACTATTTTGTACCTTATTTGTGGAAAGTGCCTTATAGAGTTTGTTGTGTGCGGTCTCAAACGGTGCAGTGTACCTAGAAAGACAAATGTGTTGCTTGTGTACTTGTTGATTACGCATGTGAGGAGTGCCGCTGTCTTTTATTGGGAAATTTACACCCTTGGTGTGATTTATAGAAATCGGTAGTGCCCACAAAGCAGTAAAACTCTAATTGTTTCTTCCATTTTTAAAGTCTATCCTCCATTAAGGAATCGGTGGGTAATAAAGAGCATTTTTAATCAACCCTCTCTTGCTGATGGGTTGACGTTTGAACAGTCTCGCCTACCGTACAAGGCAAGCTTTTACTGCTGAGAACAATATAGGCTAAATTATTAGGACATCTCATAAGTGACTGGGGTTTTGCAACA